CACCATGGTGATGTAGCCTTTAGGCCACATAGGTGGAAAACCTGAAAAGAAACAGAAACACATCTATTACATTCTGAAATGAAGATAAATACATTGTGAAAAATCAAACAAATTTCCAGCCCTTTAAACCAATTATTCCAAAAGTATGATAAATAAATATTTTATAGTAAAATTCAACACCAATAAATAAATTAGCATATTCATCAACAGTTTGTTAAATATATTTTTTGTCAAAATTCTATTCAACATTTATTCTTTTTAACTTTAAACAAGAAACACCAAGTGTATTTTTTTAAGTTGCTCCTTTGATTTCAATAATATTAAAAACTGCTCAGTGCAACAATCAGAGTCCATGTTCTGCTCCAATCAGATTCAGGAAATGAGCAGCAGCATTGTGAGGCTTAGCGGCTGTCCTTCACAGTTTGTAGAAAACTTTTGCACATTTCTGATTTTACATGCTACCTGCACTGTGTGCTTCTCATCCTGTGGCACTTTTTCAAACTGGAGTGACAGATCAGTCACACCAACAGTACTGCACTCTGTGATTGCTAGGAGATTGAGTCCACCTGGTTCTCATCACTAACAATAAGAGAAGCTGCAGAAAGGTGCAGCAGAGGAGAATGATTACCTGGCAGTTCACCAGAACAGTTATTACAACATGCATGCTGTATCTTCAGGTGTGATGCATCATAAACATGTCATACTTCAGTAACTGTTATAAATGTATTTATTTTCCACATGCAAATTTGTAAGATATAAATTGCCAGCTACAATGAAATACATTGTTGTTCAGATGATCCTCATTATTTTTGAATGATCATTTACATATTTTTTTAATTAGTTAAAGATTTATTAATTTGCAGCTTAACTCCTCATTATTCCCAAATTTAACAAAATTGAAAAGAAAAGTATACAGTTTTGTTAGGAAAACCAATTGGTCAAAAACCTAGAGAGGTAACAATATCTAATTTTCATAACATACTTAAAGCTGCAGTAACTTTTATTTTAAAAAATATTTTTCTACATATTTGTTAAAACTGTCATCATGTCATGACAGTTTAAGACAGATAATCTGAAAAGATCACCTCCTCCACCTCCTCCCTGTGCTGCTGTCATCTGCAGAAATCACCACTCAGTCAGAAACAACCAATCAGAGCCAGGAGGAAGGTCTTAGCGCTGTCAATCAATCCCATGAACGCGCTGCTCAATCTGCTAATGGTGGAGGAACAATTTACCAGGGGTGTCAAACTCCAGTCCTGAAGGGCCACGGTCCTGCAGTTTTTATTTAATGAAAAGATTCACTGAAACATAACATGGCGCCAGTTAACGTGTTGGTTCCTTTCAAGTTCTGCATCCAATCAGAACTCAAAATCCCAGATTGACTCCAGTCTGCATCCTGAACCTGAGAAGAATTAAAAATGAGATGGAAAACACAAACTGACTGATGGACATGTAACAGGTTAAGCAACTTGATTTGTATTTTAAGTTAGTTAAAAGTTTAGGACTCAACTCAAGACTGAAATGTCTTGATGTCAAACCCGACCTGAGACTACCATGCCTTTACTTGGATGGAAAGAAAAAAGAAATTAGTCCAATATTTTGGTGAAGCTTCAAGTAAAACAGGTTACTGATTTTGAATACCTGATAACAATTAAGGATAATAGATTTTCCTTGAACTCTATGCAGATTATTACTTCAAGTCAAGATGGCAAAGTTTTACCTTGAAACAACTGGAAGCTTCACTGCCAGTAAACACACATTGATCATAGATTATAAATTACTTACTGAGTGTTTTGTCCTGAAAAGCTGATCAGACAATTAAGATTAGCTCTAAACAATTCTTACTTTATGATAAATACTTACATAAGAAAGTCATCAGGTCTATAAAGATTCATATTTATTCAGTAATTCAGCTTTTTTCCATCTGGCAGAAGATAAAATTTTCTGGTCTGAAAAAACTGCGATGAAAAACATTTTTTAATTTTTAGATGTAACTTTTTAAAGAAGGAAATAATGAAATATCTCAGTTTCTTTCCAGACATGAATATCTCTATGTATGTTTTTGTTTGGAATTATGTACTTTGCTGATTTATTGATGCTACAAGTTTTGTACATTTTAGGATTTCCATTTGTTTACATTTATAGTCAAAGTATTTTATTGTCAATCACATATATTAGGATCAAGATTACGTCTCTTGCCATCCCTTTAAGCTAAAAACTCAGCTGTCATACAATTAAACAGGTTTTTAGAACCCATTAAAAAAACAAAGTTGGAGTTGCATTATAAAATATAACTTATCTTTATAACATTTTGTGTTATGAAGATGAAGAAATCATGACTCTCTTCCTCTCCCAGGTTTATCTGGGTTTTCACAGCCAAAATGCCCTGCAAGGTGGACAGTGAATTATCCAACCTTATTTTACCTTTTCTAGTCATGAGTGGATTGAATTTACTACATAAATTTTACTGAAAAATAATTTGTCTTTTGGATCAACACTTTAACTGAATTAAGTTCTTAAAATGTAACTATTTGGACTAAACTTTCTGACATGAGGCTTTTTACTTCAACTAAATGACTAAAAGGAAAGTAGAAAAGAGAAACAACATGTGACCAGCAGGGGGAGATTCTTTATGTGCAAGATGCACCGGAACACAAACTGAATGCACAAGATTTTATTAACAATTTTCTTAAAATATTTCTCTTTTTAAAAACATGGCTTCAGGCCTAATACTCGGTCCCTGAACAAAAAGTTATGAGGCGAGGACAAATTCATTTATTAAAAAAGAAAATAAAGAATAAAAAAAGAAAGCAAACACATTAGTAATTTCAATAATGCACAACAAATACAAAATGTAAAAGAAAAACTTCAAGCAATGGAACAAATTGTTGTCGTCCAGTTTCAAATGCCTCAACAAGCCAGAGGAGTCATGCCACACAGCCTGTCCAACACAACAGGTTAACAGGTTTAGTCGAGAGCAGCCAGGTAAAATAAATTAAAATCTAACAGGTAGCTTAGCCAGGAGTGGAAATACAGCCTGAACAGGAGGGAGCAGATCAGCAGGTCAGGACTAGTTGGAAGCTGCAACAACCTGCAGCTGCAGCCGCAGAGCAACGCTGCAGAAACACAGCAGGTGCAGCACCTAAAACCAACCATAATCCCAGCCATCGATTGCAAAAATACCACTTATGATCTCAGATGAGCAGATTAAGAACACAAGCCAACATGTAGCAGGGGAAACTAAAACACACACACCTTGATTGATGCTTCACACACACCTTGATTGATGCTTCACACACACCTTGATTGATGCTTCACACACACCTTGCAGTGCCTGTCCAACTATGAAGGTATCTGCCACCAATCAGCAGTGAGCTTCTGACAGCATCTGTTGCTCAGAGTGGGGAGGGTGGAAAACCATCCACCACAAAAAGAAACAAATGATCTCAGAATAGAAAAATATCTCATCTCTAACTGGTCTTTGTTTTTCCATAGAGATTTTTCCAACTTGGGCCAGAATTTTCCTGGCTCTGCTGATTCTACTTCCTGTTTCTGGAGGCCTTTTATTTCATTTCCGACATTATTTCATGTCAGGTGAGTTCCTCTTACATCAGTATCAGTACTACTGTCTAACATGCTGAGGTTTTCTGAGTTTTCCTGAGATTGTGAACATTTCAGACAATGAAGCCTGTATTGATACAGAAAGATGAAGGAAGCTTCATAGTCGTGGTTTCATTGTTTACGGTTATGGATAAAATGCTGAGTTTTCCTGGTTTCTATGGTCAGGAGCTGAACCCACATGAACTCAATATACGTTTGTGGGCGAATGAGAATAGAAATAATCTACAAGTTTATAATCGGAAGTACTGCAGAACTACACAAAATGGTTGAATTATCCGTCTTATGAAGATAAATAAATCATGGCGTTCCTCCTCCCATCAACAGTCTCCAGGTTCACCTGGTTTTTCTGAGCCACAATGGAAAAACCCATTGGGAAAACTTGTAAAAGTTTCCACATTGCTTTGATTTTTGGAATTTTGTTTCACTATATCTATAACTATTATAACTATAATCCTGCTGATCTTAATCCTGCTGTTGAAGACCAAAAATAACAGAAATTCTAAATTGGAAACATTTATTACAGGCGTCCAGTTCAGGTTTTCACCCCCAAATCAGAGTCTTTATTTTGAGTACTGACCAATACAGAGTCCCAACCTGATACTTAAAAAAATTCATTTCAAAAATAAAGAACAAAGAAACAGAATAAACAGAATAAACAGAATAAACAGAATAAATATACATATATAGACGATCCCTGACTGAGATTTAACAATCGATTCCGATTGAGTCTGAAATTACATAATGTCAAACAACATGGTAGATAAAACATTAAAACATTAAAATTACACATGAATATTTTCATTGTTTTTTATTTTATTTTCTCTACCATTGCACATCATAAAATGCTTTAAGCTGCTGCTGTTTCTGGCAAAAGAAAGACAAATGTCTGATTAGTTGACCTGCAGCTTCAGACCAGCAAACGTTTCTATGATTCACTGAATGATTTATGTTTGTAAGGTTGATGCACTGCAGCACAAAACCTTCAAATGCAATAATGATGAAATAATTACTAATAATTGAAAACTTGAATGTAAGACTTTTCTAACATCAACCTTAGCCTTGTAGGGTCGATTCCATAAAAGGACAAACTGAAATTCCCAGATCCAGAGTTCTGATGAGTTTCTGTGTTTCCTGCTGAATATTCCTGCTGTTTCTCATCCACTAAACATAAATCAAACCCACATTAAGGATGATGATATGAAGTCATTGAAACTTTTCTCTGCTTTAGATTAATCAGTAAACTGTTTTTATCTCCAGTTAGTAGGAAACAACAGTGATGCAGTTATCAGGTGGTTAAACAGTACAAATATATTCATAACCATGTGGATGATAGTGAATCTTTTCTTCTGAGTCTTTGAGAGGAAGTTTAGATCACATGGATCCTCTGTCAGCATCTGGTCACTAAATCCTGAGCTCCACTTTGTGACTGAGGTGTTTTTCTCCTGGATTATCACTGAGGCTCCATCACTGTGAACATCATCAGTTCTGCTGCTGTCAGTGCAGCTCATCTGTTTGTTTCTCAGTCTACAGGGTGGAGGTGGATTCAGGAGAGGAGTCTGTTCTGCTGCCATTTAAAACTGCAGCCTGTCTGCCTGGAGGAGTCAGAGTGAGGTGGAGACACAACAATAGCAAAGTGGTCTACGTTAATGACAGGAACTTAGATTGGTATCAACACTGGCTTTATAAAAACAGAACAGAGATTAAAGAGAAATCAAAATTTGGAGACTTCAGTTTGACCCTGAAGAAACCAACAAGCAGAGACACAGGAACCTACAGCTGCACCGTCTACAAAGACTCATCAGATGAAATCCTGACCATGAAGCAGGTGCTGCTGAAGGTCAAAGGTCAGTGCTGTAAATATAGGCTACATTTTATATCTGTTAATATCTCCATTAAAGATGAGATGGTTATTATTCTGGGTTATTAATATGAAGGTTATAATGAGGATAAATGTTACTGAAATATAATTTATAATAATAAAGAAAATGATGTAATAAATAATGGCAAGACTATTCACAATAGATGTTATGAAATAAAAGTAAATTTCTGGGTTTTATATAAAATTATTAACTATTTAAACTACCAGCTTCCATCCTTTCATACATCTGTTGTTTCTACCAACTTATCCATTCAGGATGACACTGAGGTTTTGGTTCCTAGAACCACTGGGTGAGGAGGGTTCAGCATAAACTGGTCACCAGTTCATCACAGGACAGGTGGAGCCAGAATAATCTGTATAAAATGACTAAACTTTAATGTTTCAGTTTAGTTTCTTATCAAAGGGATAAAATTATAAACATATAGAAACAATTATTTATGTCTGGATTTATTTCAGTAACTTGTTATAAAACAGTAACTTCTCTTTAATCATATTCTAACTTTCTCCTCTCCTCCATCCAGCTGGTCCTGACTCTCTCATCATATCCATAGACTTTGGTTCAGGATTCAGTGGCTACGCCTTCAATGTTAAACCCAGACAGGAAGGAGGAGAGACCCAGATAAAGAGATGGAGTGATGGACTTGGACTAGACACCCCAAAGACTCCAACCTGCATCCTGTTTGATGAACATGAAGAATTTATGAAGTTTGGTTATGAAGCTAAAACAGCATTTAATAATATGAGAGAAGGAGAAGCTGAGAAACATTATTTCTTTGAAGACTTCAAGGAAGATGTCCTTGACATAGTAAGTAAAAGTAAAGAACTACAAATAAATCTTCTTTCTTGGATCCTATCATGTTTTCTATGAACACACCAGCCTTCTCATTTTGAAACTGTCACTATTTGAATTATCTAACATATTTTAAA